GATTACTGTTGGTGGATATTTATAGGTATGGGTAAGCAGGTGATGGTATATATATATATATACAGACCAGAAGAGAGGCAACCAGCCATCCGCACTTGTCATCACAAGGGCTTTGTTTGGCTTTTTATAAAGCGTATAACGGGACTGACTGTTACTTTTACAACGCGTCCACAACTGTAAATGCGAAGCATGTTTAACGAGATTACGTTTTGGACTTCAGACTCTTCGATCTGCACCCAGCGCTAACCATAAGACCATGCGCAGCCTTGTTTAACGCAGCTTATACGACACATAGTCTAAGCGAATAACCAGGCGACAAGCACCAGCCCCATCCAATGGCTAATCATAAATGAATACTGACATTAACTGTCGAAAATATAAATCTTATACGGCTGAAAAACGGAACGTATTCAGCAGATATTATGGCTTGAACCTTGGACCTTTAGATCTTCAGCCCCGTAACGCTAATTCTTAGCCCAGCTAAAACACAATAGATAACTACACTTTTTATGTTACTTGATCAGTTCATAAATGTAGGAGACTTTTCGACTATTTTTCGCGGGATTGAAACCTGTCCTTCGTCGACCTGAATGTGAATGTAGAAACATTAGAACTATTTCACCACACGTGAAAACGGCTTAAGCAAAAATAGGTGTTACAAGGTGTTAGAAACCGAGTTTTGATACCTGTGGGGCTCATTGTATAGCTTTGTGCTTAACTTCAAACAACAACACTATCTGTTTAATTAAATTTATATGCTTTTTGAGAATAAATTTAGCAATAAAAATAACTTTTGCTACTTTTAACAATTACAATTTATTATTACTAAATAAGAAGAGAAAAAGAATCACAAGTTACTTCCCATAGTTTGTTTGCAGTTAAGCACAAAGCTACACAATGGGTTGGTTATCTGCGTCCTCTATGGGTATGTAAATCTGGTTTTTAGCGTTATAAGTCTTCAGACTTACCACTGTGCCAGTGGGAGGTTTACTTCACTTAAGTCAATAGGTTATACTGTTAAAAGACACGAAGTCAAACATTTGTAAAGAAATAACATCATACTTTGGAACAATTTTACTCATCTAGTTATCTGTGAAGATGTAATTTTCAAATGGTATTTCTCGTGGAAAGTATTAAGATATTAATGCAACTAGTTGGGTTGAGCTTATAATTTTTGTTTCCTATGTGATCCCATATTTAAGTACTATGAAATAATTAAGTATATCTGTTTTAAAGGTGGGAGAATTATAAGAAAACTATTGGCAGAATACCGAAACCGTTCCAAGTGATCATTGAGATAGAAGAAGGCTCAGAGTTTGCCGGCCACGTGGCTATTGATAACTTGCAGCTGAAACAGTGTGTTCGAGGTATGTAACCGTGCACTTTTTCTAATATTTCTTGTTTTACTAAATCCTGTAACCAATTTATAAAATGGCGGGATTAGAAACAGAAACTACAGTACTTTACAATTTTGATTTCACGACTTTATTTTCAAGAATTGTCAAAATATAGTACGAGAACATAAATTTACAATGTTTCATAACAATAATACACAGAGAGCATATAACACAAATTTTGTTTCATCTATATCAACTATATATGTTCTCAAAACTTTGAAATAGTACACTCATGGTCAGACAGGTAGGGAATATGAGTATTATGTATTTTATTTTATGGTAAACTTAGTACTGTCATTTGTCTTCACTTAGCTATGGATAAAATCCCAAAATAATATTTCCCCCGACATATTAATTTCCCAGTATTTCTTAGAATTTACTCAGATTTTGTAAAACGATTATTATTGTTTAATTAAGATGTTTATAATAAAATCTCTTAAAACTTAGCTGTGACAAAAAAGTTTAAAGCTTGGCTTCGTTTACTTTCTGTAGAAGCATACATTCCTTGTTCACCAAATCACTTCCAATGTGAAAGCAAATCCTGCATCAACCGAAACAAAGTGTGTGACATACACCTCGACTGTCAGGAAGGAGAAGACGAAGAACAGTCATGTGGTAATAATATAAGCTTGTTTTAAGGATCAAATATGGCCCAGGTTTTCCTTTGACGACCAGTCCACGAAGACTTGTTTACCAAATTACAAATATTGATATGTTTTCGAACATTCCCTGTACCCATTTAGACTATTGTTAAAACATCAAATCACAAATTTCAAGCTCAAAAATCAACATATAAATTAAAGATATTTTAACATAGATAGATATGTTAACATAGATCAGGAAATCTGAAAGTTTGATGGAAAGGCATAAAGGTAAAAACTTATAACTCAATTTCTCTAAAGATAAAACTCATAAGTAAACAAAATATATATATTGTAGAAATGTAGATTACAGAATAGTACGATTATTCATTCCCCTTTTTACTGTAACAAGATAAATACTAAAATATAAATTTATACGTTCTGAACATGCTACTATCTAATAAATTCATACATTCAAGTTGAACAGGCTACTATCTAATAAATTTATACATTCAATGTTCAGCTTGAATGTATAAACTTATTAGATACTAGCATGTTCAGCTTGAATGTATAAACTTATTAGATACTAGCATGTTCAGCTTGAATGTATAAACTTATTAGATACTAGCACGTTCAGCTTGAATGTATAAACTTATTAGATAGTAGCATGTTCAACTGCTAGTATCTAATAAGTTTATACATTCAAGCTGAACATGCTACTATCTAATAAGTTTATACATTCAAGCTGAACGTGCTAGTATCTAATAAGTTTATACATTCAAGCTGAACATGCTACTATCTAAAAGAACAATATAGATATATAACGTATTAACACGAGTGCATTGATATTATGTCAAAGTCAAACGAGTTTATTATTTTCAGACAACATTAAAGTAATATCGAAGCTGAACAAGTTAAATTTTACGTTAAGGTAACAGCGAAGCTGACCAAGATATTTCTTACTAGAGTACATTAAGATAATATTGTAACAGTTTACAGAAAAATAAATTAAAGAAAATAAAGCTGAATATGGCAGTTTATAGAAGAGTACATTAAGATAATATTGTAACAGTTTACAGAAAAATAAATTAAAGAAAATAAAGCTGAATATGGCAGTTTATAGAAGAGTACATTAAGGTAACATCGAAGCTGAACATTACAGTTTACAGAAAAATAAATTAAAGAAAATAAAGCTGAATATGGAAGTTTATAGAATAATACATTAAGGTAACATCGAAGCTGAACATTACAGTTTACAGAAAAATAAATTAAAGAAAATAAAGCTCAATACGGCAGTTTATAGAAGAGTACATTAAGGTAACATTGAAGCTGAACATTACAGTTTATAGAATAATAAATTAAAGAAAATAAAGCTCAATACGGCAGTTTATAGAAGAGTACATTAGGGTAACATCGAAGCTGAACATTACAGTTTACAGAAGAATAAATTAAAGAAAATAAAGCTGAATATGGCAGTTTAGTCTTGGATTATCTTATTCATCTAAGATGATACATTAACATATTGTTTTAGGACTGACTTCTTCAGTTAGTCTCGTAATTCTTCAGTTTAATAATTAATATCAATGTTTCGTTTGAAGGCTATTTTGTTGAGCATAATTGCAATGATAGTGTACTCATTGGTGGATTACCTAGTTCAGCTTACTAATGTAACATTCAGTGGATACTTAAGAGGAATGTATTGTTTCGCTACTACGTTATCTTAATGTTCTCTTCCGAAGGGTATCGCCTTCAATTTCGGTGTTGAGTTAATGAACTCCTGTAAGAATTAAGTTATTCAGTTTCAATACTACATTAAAATACACTGATAAGGACCATCGTATTCAGCTTCGATGTTACCTTAATGTATTCTTCTTGATTAAATTGAAGGTAGAACTCACCGGAGTAAATTAAGGTAACATTGAAGAATAACACGTTGATGTTTGTTATACCTAAGGTGAACTTCAGTGAAGTAACTTTAAATATACCCTTGATAATATGTCATGTTACATCTAAACTGATTAAGAATGTCTTCACGTTTTTTCTAAGCTTAACATTAATTTCCTTACTGTGGGTTTACGGCTGAAAGAATTGTTCTTTCTTCAGTTTTAGTGATCGCTTTTAAGGGTGAAAATATCGTTAACAGTGAAGATAACAGTAACAAGTGACGTCATAATTCGATTGTATCAAAATACGTTTTATATGACCTGACAATGTCACATTTAAAATTGCTCTGGTTTTGGTTTCCACAAGTTCAAAAACGTGTTACAGTGAACATCTGAAGTCTAGTTCAGGTTGAAGTTTTTATAACTAGTGCGTTCTCCACACGCTATACATAGAAATGTTTTGTTCAAACGTATAAAAGTTTAACGAATGCGTCTTTGGATTTGACGCAACACAACTCTCATTATGCGTTCGCAACTGGTATTAAAATGTTTAAAATATAATAGCTGGAGTTTATAGTTTATTCTACACGCAACTCGGAGGTAATGTGACTTTATTCAAAAGCAGTGTTTTTGTTAGTGGAATTTACTTTCTTTACGTTAAAATAACTTCTGAAACACGTGGAATTATTTTGTCTTCTTTACAGATGAAATCCCTGAAGGTGCTCGCTGCTCTTTCGAAGACGGAATGTGCGGTTGGGTTAGTGAGAGTAGAAGAGACAGTGAATGGAAGCTTCATTCTGGCCCTACACCTGTACCACGCACTGGCCCATCTGTAGACAACACCTTCCAAAACTCTACGGGTAACGTTCATATTATAATTCCTTTTTATCTTCCTAAGTTAGTTTCTTTATGCCGTATAATGTAAATAGCTAAATAAAATATTACAGGGGATTACTGCATGTTAATAGCTAGGTGTGACATCTTGACTGCAAAAACAACAACAACAAAAAACTCTGTATTATGCAGGCTCTTTTTAGTTGAAACGAAAAAAAAAGCAAAATGTTCTGATAAGATCCCCACTTTTGCTTTGCTGGTGTGCGAAAACTCGTGAGCTGTTAGAGGATGAAAATTCTACAATTTCACTAATTGTTTGTCATAAACATTTAGTGGTGGAGCTAATACACCCCTCTAATCACAAATTATAGATCAGATATACTTATAAACAATTAGCAATTTCACTAAAGATGTTTCTTCTGCATCTAAATATCATATAAGACTTTTAAATGTTTACGGTGTGAGTGTATTGGAAGTATTTAGACTTTTTAAAACCATAAAAAACACCTTACCAAATTCTTATTAATAGTTTAAACAAATCCAGTGTTTCTGCAACAGAGGTTGAACTGTATCACACATACTTTTTGTTTCAAAGTTATAGTCTTTGATAAATCTTTATAGGCCCAGTAGGTGGACATTTTAAAATAAAAATTTAATTTTGATAGACAAATTATTTCAATATTTCAGCTCATTTGGAAATTCGTGAATGTATGCTTTTACAATAAACTTCTCATGTCATATTTATATTACAGCTAAAAGCTGTTACTATAACAATCATAATATAGAGTATGAGCAAGAACATTGCCTCCTTTTAGTTGAGATAACGCTATGCAAGATAAACCACTGAAATGCCTTTTAGTTGAGATAACGCTATGCAAGATAAAACACTGAAATGCCTTTTAGTTTAGATAATGCTATGCAAGATAAACCACTGAAATGTCTTTTAGTTTATATAACGCTATGCAAGATAAACCACTGAAATGTCTTTTAGTTCAGATTACGTTATGCAAGATAAACCACTGAAATGTTAATATGAATGATAATCTTCGATTCATTTAGGTTTCAAATTAACGAGAGTTGATCTTGTTCATGACTATTTTAATTACTCGTATACAAAATAAAGTATACAGAATAAAGAAATAAATACAAAATAAAACCACTAGAAATAGGTTCATCTGTGCACCATACTCTGCCTTTTTTAATACTGATTACCCTAATCACTTATAACTCTATTCATCTCACTTACACAGCCAGTTATTAGAGTTCTATCTTTATCAAATACTGTTACATATCTGAATATGATTTACGACATGTACATAACCAATTACTGCAACGTCTTTAAACTTGATAAGTCAGACTTATGTAATCAAATATTGTAAATACTGCTCACAATGCATGCTTTGCAACAATTGTTCCTAAAACTAGACAAACTCTAATTTGACAGAAGATGTAAGTAACGTAAGCTTTTATTTAGCTAGAACGAGCTGTAGAGTTGAGATTCAGTGGTTTTTCGTACCGTTGGGGCGCTAGGTGAGTTATAAAAGTGACGGTCATATTCCACTGCTCAATCTGACAGGAATAGCCTAAGAGTTGGCGGTGAGTAGTGTTGGCTACTGTTATCACTTCAAAATTAGGGACGGCTAGCAAATTCAACAAATAAATCATTTTTAAATATGCTCACTACAAATATTTAGTAAATGGCTTCGCCATGCGCACTTAAATCACAAAACATCACACGCTTTTAAACCCACGCCATCTACACACACTGAAAATAATGTTCATTACACATACTTGCCCCCAGTAGTACAGTGGTAAGTCTTCGGACTTATAACACTAGAAGCCGGGTTTCGATACTGGTGGCCACAGTATTGTGTAGCTTAACTACATACAAACACATTCTTAATCCGTCGTTCACCATGCACTTCCTTTCCTAAAGTAATCCAACGAGTCAGTCTATTGTTGCTTAAAGTAAAAAGAAGTTATGCCTGTAAATATTATAATTATATAATTTGACCAGCCTCTGTATATTTTTAATGCTGGAACAAGGAAGTAGAACACTGAAAATTTTCATTGAATAATAACATATCTTAAATTTTCATTTTATTAATTTGGATAAATTTCAAAAAATAGTGGATGCATTGTAAAAACTGCCAAGATATGTTGAACATAAGATTGTGCTAATAATATGTGTGAGATAAAATCTATTGCTCAGATCGTATAAACAACTTTTTTATTAGGTAAATACATGTGGGCTAGCTTTCACCCTAAACGTGCTCGTCTTGGACACGTGGCTATCATGAACAGTTCCATCTTCGAACCACCACCACTTTATCAATACGATGTTCATTCGAACTATTACAACTCGTGCCAGGTATGAAATAATCATCTCAGAGAGTAAGAAATATTATGTTTTTGAATATTAAACGTCTAAGTATTTTTACATTTAATAGTGCTAACATATTTGTTTTCTATTTTTTTACATTTTATTTTTGTTGGAAAAGCGTATCTTAACATTAAACGGTGTTTAATTAAATATTTCTTTAATAAAATTTTAGTACTTAATGTTATATCTATTTTATTTATTGAATTAAACATGTAACACATTAAGTTTATTGTTAATTTCTCATTAACTTTTCACACTAGTGCATAGTTTTTTCACACCCAGTGTAGTGTTAGAATAAGTTTCATATATATTGGACTGTTTAAGCGTTTTCGTTTATTAAATAGGCAGTATTGTACCTTTGTATCTTATAATACCAACAAATATTGCAATTTGTCGGCCGAAATTCAAGTTTGCTGCATTGGAGTAACTTGTGTTTCCTGTGGTTTTATCCAGTAATTTTTCTTCTAAGGTTCGGTTTTTCTACCATATGTACGGGAGTAACATGGGTGAGCTGATACTTTACGTCCAGGAACAGGATCCAGAATATTTATTTGACAGAAAGATCCTCCTGTGGAGAATCTATGGTAACCAAGGGAACCTCTGGAAAAGAGCTGCAGTTCCATTACCGAAATTACGTTCTAAGTAAACATGTATTTCACTTACAGCACAATAAGAGATAGAAATACGTAATGTTTAAGTTGTTTTTAGTATCTCTACTATTAGGACTTTACATTACATTTTCAATTAAATGTATCATTCAGCTTTTAATTTACTATTCAAACACTAAAGTCTACATTAAAAAACTTACTACACAAATAATGCTACGTCTTATCTTCTACTTTTGTACACCAGTTTTACGTACATGCATAATTTAAGTCACTAAAAGCTAGTTTAAACTTACACTCTATTTAAACCTCTATACGTGAAAGCATTGATAAATAGCAACTAATCAACCTGTACATTCCAGGTTTAATTATAGAACTATTTGTATCTCCAGCTATTATTGGAATTTTCCTCTTCGTATTTAATTTTCATCTCATGGTTATGAACCATAATTTGACCTGACCTTAAATTGCTATGGTACTCGTTTCAGTGTGAAAGTAAAGCACGTGTTATGCAATGTTCCGGTATTCACATTTCTCCATCAATGGCTCTCAGATCTACATCTCCAACACTGTTGTATTACGATGTATTATAGTTCCGTTAAAGAAAAATGGTCATGAATACACTTATACTAAAAAAACTGAAGATTTGGATACGAATTAAAACTGTATTGTTACTCATATATATATATATTGGTGTATATAATGTGTAACAACGACTTAGATTTATCCATTATGTTAATCTTCATAGCCTAGCATATAAACAGTTTTCTGTTGAGTTGATTAATAGGGTCGACATTGGGAATATGAGCATATGTTTTCCTTAATCAAAAGCACGACAATGAAACTGAATCAGACAAAACCGATATCTTAATATTTTCCTGAAATTTTACCGTATCAGTTTGACAGTAAAGTATATATTACGTCTTATAAAACTTATTTTTTTACATTGCTTTGATAGGGTAACCTTATTTTCCGTACCTTTGGTAATTGTTAACACGTTAAATAAAATACTTTTTGAAATAGACAACGAATGTTTCTTACCTGTGGTAACTATGACTGAATTAAATACAATCCTTTTTCAAATAGATGACGAAACATATTTCGTCTATAATGAGGAAAAAGACTTGTGTAATAGTTTCAGGCTTGTATGTGTGGTGTTAAGTACTTACAATTCAATAAAATTAACATTAAAAACAACGACATTGATAGATCATTGGAAAATAAACTTACTAGATATTAGTACCTAAATATCTATATAGTTCCCAAACAAAAAAGCATATATACATATATATATACTTTATGGTCTTGTATTAGATATTATCATCTTATTTCCATCTATTAGAATGTCTAAGAAAAACACTTTTGCTACACGCTGTTTCAAATAAATACCTTATTGTAAGAATTTAACATGTTTCAAATAAAGTAAAAAACTATGTATATTTAATATCTGCTAGCCAATGGATTTAAAGGAATTAAATACATAAACATTTCAGTATTCGAACTACATCAAATGCTGTTGTTGTTTGTAGTTAAGCACAAAGCTACACAAAGCCATTTGTGCTCTGCCCACCACGGGTATCGAAACCCGGTTTCCACATCAAATGCTACATTCAGAAATACTAATGCTTGAAGTATAATTTTCGACTCTACTTCAGGAAATTCTGTTCCTGTACTTTAATATACTCTCAAATTATTTGTTATAGTAATTCTTATAACAGTAGCCCCCTCCTAGTGGCACAGAGGTATGTCTTCGGACTTACAACGCTAGAAATTAGGTTTCGATACCCGTGGTGGGCAGAGCACTGATAGCTCATTGTGTAGCTTTGTGCTTAATAACAAAGAACAACATAGTAATATCATATATTTTAAATATTTCCAGTTTTCATCTACAGTTTGTCGCTACTCGAGGTCTCCGACATAGATGTGACATGGCGGTTGATGATTTATCACTCAGCCCAGAGTGTTTCGGTATCGGTAAGCCACTCAGTTCGTACTACAGACATTGTATTTATCTCTTCTCAAGAAAATCAAAATATTTATATCAAAATCCTTAATGACTTTCTATCTGTATTGGAAATATCAGGTTGAATTAGCAAATGTCTTGGATTATTAGAAACTGGATATGGCAGATATAGTGTGGCTGACATGTTATACATATTCTCCTATATTCTCCTATATAGTCCTTACAATTACTAATATGGCTTTCTCCCGTTAATGCTGTGGTTACAAGAAGACTAGCTTGTTGGTTCATTACTTTTCGCAAATAACTGTAAAGTTAATATTCAAATAAAATAATAACAGTAATAAAATAATAAATAAATAAACAGTGTCAAAGTAAAATAATAAAGTTGTGTTATTAAATGATACATAATAATTTGATTTGTAAATTATTTGATAAGATTAATAATAATTACAATTTACTTGCTTCATCTTATTCACATCCTATCAGTTGTTTTACATGAAAATTGATTATATATATATATATATATATATAACGCCTATGCCATTACTATCACTAGAATATCATTTCAAATTACCCTTCAATTGTCCGTATACATTTGTAAGTTTTGGATTCAGATAAAGTGCTTTCAATTTATAAAAGTATTTTATACTAAGAACCAACAAAAGGTTACTTATGTACTGAGCATTCATAATATAGAACGATTTCTCCTTCAAACAAAGTGAGGATCATATCTGTATTAATTCTATAGGTTGATATTATATTAAGAACAAAGTGAGGATCATATCTGTA